GATCCTACCTCAAGCAATTAAAAAAAAAATGGTCTGGGGATGTAGTTCATGTGTTCAGTCCCCAGTATAGGAAATACATTTTTTTTAATATAAGGAGGTAGATAATAAGTATAATACATTGCTTGTCAGGTGATGATGCATGTGGTAGGAAGGAATAAAGTAGGCAGTGGCGGCAGTGCTGGGCAGGTGTACAATCTTAAAGAACTCAGGGAAAGCCTCCTGGAGCAGTGACATTTGAATCACAGCTGAAGGTGATCAGGGGTGGGTGGCCCGGAGAAAGGGTCCTGCCAGAGAAACCTTCCATTGCAGGAGGCCTCCTCTATCTTTATGGCCTCCCTTTCTCATGGACACAGAGCTCCGGCAGCAAGTCTGGGAGATGTCTCGGAGATATCATCCCTCAACAATGAGCTCCTCTCCCATGTGGAGTGCTACAACCAGAGAAGCCAACGTACTGCTGGCCCTTAATACCGCCTCCACCCTCCAGCCAGGGTGCTCTAGGGCAGGTGTGTCCAGCCCAGGGCAGCTAGTAATGCAGCCCCACCAGACTGGAAACTTCTAACATTATTATGTCATTTTTAGTTTTTTTTTCATGATTGCACAGTGCTTGAGCAGATGACGTAGGGCTCTGGGTGACAGGGGATGCTGTGCAGGGAAAGCACAATCAGTCCAACTGAAGCTCCTGTGTATTAGATGTGACCTGTGCTTGTGCAACTTGTCCTGTAAAACACACCGGTTACTGGTAATGTTGCACCTACCTACACACGTATGTGCTGTGAAGACAGGCGTTTATTGTTATTAAGCAGACGTAAGTGTGTTCTTATGTAATTATTACACTTAGGCTTGTGTTACTTTGTAAAATAATTTAATATGTTCAAATAAGAACAATAAAGGAAGTTTTCTACTCATATAATTAACTATATTATATATTTTATATGCAACCCAAGATAACTCTTCACTCAATGTAGCCCAGACAAGCCAGGGTATGATACCAGGGTAGGATGTAAATGAGCAGCACCAGAGGTTTCTTTCCTTCCCTCCCAGCCTCATTTTTCCAACAGGAGCTTAGTTCCTCCCTAGGAACTCTTTGAGGACCAGTCAGTGTTACACCAGCAAGAACCTGGACGATTTAGGTTCAAGTTCTGGGTCTGCATCCCCTAGTTATGTCATGAGCTTGGCCAGATCATTTAACTTGTCCACTGAAAGGCTGGAATTCTTTCCTGTGGTTTCTTACACTATCTGTCTTAGTCACTTTCCTCATGGCTGGGACAAAATACCCACCACAACTTAAAACAGGAGAGGTTTATTTTGGCTGTTTAGGTCCATAGTTGGCCGACTCCAAGGCAGGATGCTAGGGCAGAAGGGCATTGAGAAGGAAAATCTGCTCACCTCATGGAATCCAGGAAGCAGAGAGCACGAAGGGAGGAGTGGCAAGGGTGATACAGCCTTCCAGGCCACGCCCCCAAATGACCCACCTCTTCCACCCAGAACTTATCTGACAGCAAGTCAGGTACAAGTCCCTGTAATCCAACTGCCTTCCAAAAGCCCCACCTATGAGTGCACAAGGCTCTTGGGGACATCTAGATATAAACTATGACAGTATCCTAATGCAGGCAATGTAGGGTTGTGTGCAGATGCATGAAACCATGTGGTTGTCATACTTAGCGCCGTGCCTGGCTGCCACTGTTACTGGTCATAACTGGCTGGGGAACTGGGCAAAGTCTGACTACAGCTGGAAGGCTGGGGTGTGGGGCACAGCTTGCAGCTGACCCCTTTTCCAATCACCCAGCAAACTTTCTTAGATCTTTGTTTCTCAGACTGACCTTCCTTGCTCAAGGTTACAGTAATGACATTTAAAGGGCCTTGAGGAGGATACTTTCCAGAACACCTAAGCTCCTTGCTCAGTACACTGTTTCTGCTGGGAGGTTAATTATTGCCATCTCTGCTGGGCTGCACAATTTGAAGAATAATTCACACAAGTTATCAGTTGCCCCCTGACCGAGGCATGGAGCATAATTACCTCAGGTGGAAACTGATTCATTCTGTGAATGGAGACCTGATTTACAGAGGCTGCAAATGAGCTGCCAGCTCTGGATCCCTATGTGCCTGCTGGATACTAGGACTTAACCGACCTGAGTCTTTCCAAACACCACCCTCCAAGTCCAGTGGGTTAGAAATCTCAGCTCTGGTGAGTGTCAAGATCCCTGCAGTCCGTGGCCCAGCTGAGACTGCAGGCTTGGCTTCCTGGCTGCACTGTAATTATGACTTGGGGTAACCCATCTGCCAGCACTCTCTCCATCCTTCCTGCCCCAAACACAGTGTTTTGCCCAGAAGCACCTAGCTCTATGTGTTTTCGAAGGGGAAGAAGATGGGGAATCCGGGTCTCCCTTCTCCCTCCTGGGAATGGCCACAGCACTGTGGAATTCATCTCTTGTCCTTACCAAGTCAATGTCTGCTTCACACATGAGTCTGGAGGCCACACTCCCTGTGCTTCTGAGAAGCTGATGATGGCACCAGTGACATGGGAAGTCTTTCATCCTGTGGCAAGGGTAGGAGTTCTGCCAGCATTTGTACCGTCTGGAAACAACGCTGGGATTCACACTGCAGGTCCACAAGCATTATTTGATTGTTCCATGGCATGAAAGACTGATTTGAGGATTACAGGAAAGGGCAGACTAAACACTGAGGAAACATCGCCCCTAAGGGCAAAACATGCCAAGACTGAGCAAAATTACACATTCAGCATTTGTGAGCTCTCTGAGAACATCGAGAAGAAAGTCAGCAGGCCTGGAATCAGTGTTCACAGATGATTCCCCAACTTTCTTTTAGCCTCTTTTTTACCCTCCTGCAGGCCAGCATCTTGTCATAATTATCTTGACTCCATGGCCCTTGTGTCTCCAGAGAGTGGGGTCTGAACAAAGATGAGTCAGGTGACAGATGACCCAACTCTGGGAAGAGTCCCAAGAAAGAAATGTAAAATACTGACAACTGTAGGCTCTTGACTCAGCCAGACTCCAGCTTCGATCCTTGTTCTGACTAGCTGAGACCCTAAGGACTTCTGAGTTTATTTGCTTAGTGACAATGGAACAGATAATATCTATCCTGCAAGACTATTATGAAAATCATTAAAACACACATAAACCATAAAGAAGCTGGTGCATCTTAGGAATTTAATAAATGCCAAGTATTACTATCATTAGTATGTGTAAAATGGAGGGATTTAGTAATAGCTGCTTTTCAATGTGACTGTAAAAAGTAGAGAGAAAAATACCTTTGGTCCATAGATGTTTAATAAATGGTACAGTTGTCAGTCCTAGCTTTGCCATAGGCACCATGTCTGATGCTGGGCAAAGCCGTCTCGGTCATGGTAAAGTGGAGAGTATTTCTACCCTGCCTCATTCCCTTAAGAGAGTGTGGGGGCAGCTGGAGATAATTACACCCGCCTTGTTTTTTGGAGTTGTGAAAACTAAAACCACACACAGTATACTGAAGGCCAGGAGTGGGGAACAATGTGTTAGAATGAAAACACACTGGACTGGGGGGCAAGAGACTTGGGTTCTAGTCTTGATATTCTTTTACCTAACAAAGTTGAACGGCAGGCAAACTGTCAAATAATCTTGGCCTTAAGGTACACACACTACCAACCTCTCAGCCACTAAGAACATCCAGAACATGAAAATTTTCCGTTATTGTTCTTTGAGGGCAAAGCCAGTCTTCCCATTTTACTGAATCCAGTGCCTTCATCCCAAAATACACCTTCAGCCTTTTTTAAATTTTATATTTTTTTGGCTTGAGACAGGGACTCATTAAGTTCCCCAGGCTGGGCTCAAACTTTCAATCTTCCTGCCTCAGCCTCCCTCAGTGCTGAAATCACAGGTGTGGCCCACTGCATTCGACTTCAGTCTTTCCATTTTAATAACCTTGGTACCCAGCAAAGTTGTTGGTAGAACAGTTGAGGGCACTCAGTATCTTTTTTTTGCTTAATGAATTATAAACTACTTAGAACTCATATTTTTAATCATCACTAGACTTTTTTCCCCATAAGCTGACAGCTTTGGTCTGATTTGTTGGATCCCTGGGCCCCATCTGAAAGTTATCTGTATTCTATGCCAACCTTAAAAGACTCAGAAATGTTATTTGATACAACTGGAAGCAGAGAACTAACAGCAAAGAGAACAAAAAGCAACTCTTCTTTTATGACAGCTGTAGGGAGACAGTTTCCTAATCCACTCCCCTCCATCTCTGCTGTGGGTTCCATTCCAGTAGGTTCCCTATTATTATATACATCTTTCTATAGGATTTCTCCCCGAAGTGAAGGTGGTAGGCATTGCACAGTCCAGATCAGCTAGCACATGACTCTTCTTGGTATTAAAAATGTGAGGGATGCACCAAATGGGAGGTGGCAGGTGGAAAGCAGCAGGTAGAAACATGGAGGACCACTGTGCTTCCTGATGTAGGGGAGAGATCTTGAAGTACAACTTCTTGATAACAGGAGACATCAGATGTACTCTCCATCATACTACATAGTATTTCAGAACTGTTACACTAACTACTCTCCCAAGGGTTTGGTAGAAGAGTGAAACCGAGGTGGAGAGAGAGAGAAGCCAAAATGCCCAGGGTCACGATCTTTGCGCGCTGTAACAAAATGCCTTAGCGCAAGACCACTGGCAAATACAGGGCATTTCCCAAGTCTGCTGCATAGCGAGTCTTTTCCCCAAGGTATTGAGGAGCATCTGATTTTAAATCACTTTAAACACCATCCACCACCTCACCGCCGTTTTCACTTCCTTTCTCTATTCCCTCCCCTCTCTCTGAGTCTGAGAAGACTTACCAAAGGTAATCTCAAGCAATCCTGACAGATCACAGCTGGGTTAGGCGTCCTTTGTAGTCTTCAACTCACTGTATTGTAACTTCTGGTTTATTTATATATTCCCCAATTCTATAAAAAATAAAACGTATCCTATTCCCAAATGCCCCAAATAAGTGTATCCAAAAAATCAAGATGTTCAACACGTGTATAATTTATTAAGTGTTCAGGGTATACTTGCAATTTACTGGACTGTTTTTCTAGATACTATAACATCTAAGCAAATGTCAGTCTTTAAAAAAAATATACAACAGACAAAAAGTGTTGGAGGCTAGACATTGAATCAGCTGTTTTCTTCCTCTAGTACATCATCATAATGCTAAGATTCTTCAAACGATTTAAATAACAGCATTCCCACGCTGCATAATCTTTTCAAGATCGCAGAATAAAGTTTTTCAATCCATTTTTAAAAACTAGCAAAACTCTACAACAAAATCTTCCAGAAAAAAAGACCAAATTCATTTATATACATATTAAATGTAATACGACCTAAGAGGATACAAAACCTAAAAAGTTATGCAATTTCTTTAGAAATGACTTTCACCCTACCTACACCAATGACTCAAGACAGTGGCTTCCACACCCGTAGGGTCCTTGTTTTCCATCTTTCCACCAGCCCTAACCAGCGCCAGTGCAGGGCCTAGCACTGGCTGGGGACCTGGCTCCTAGCCCTCACACTGCCCTCAGCCCTGGCTTTGGCTCTGGCCCTGTTGGCCTGTCTGCTACAGCCTCACGATACTGCAATGGCCAGTGCTGGGGTTCTTTCTTATGGAGGCTGCCCACAAACCCTAGGCCTTTCATCTTGCTGATTTCCAGGTTTTTTCCGGGGCAACAAGAGAATTCATATTCTGGTGGACTAGGCACCTGCCTGTAACTGATGTATCGCTGCCCAAAAAAATCTTCCGCAAGCCTCTTTGGTTACTCAGACGAAGCGATACTTTGAAGCAAGGACCCCCCAAACGACACTGCCTCTCCCAGACCTGGGCCACCCTGGCTCTATTTATTACCTTTCATGTAGATAAGACCCAAGATCATCACTAAGAGACCCAATCTGGGGCCATCTCCTCCTAGATCCTCCTCCTCCTCCAGAGGTTTTAAGTTTGTTGATCAGGATTTAAGAGTGGTGCTTGCGGTCGAGCTGTTTCAGCTCGAAACCAAAAGCATACCGCACATGCTCTGCGGCCCTTGAGATGATCTCCGGGAACAGATCCTTCCAGTCTCCAACAACGTATTTCACCATCTCAGAGTGCGTGATGGGACACCTCATCCTGTTCTCCACCAGCAGAAACTGCACCAACTCGGCCACCGTCCGATTCGGGAAGCAGTGTGCCCGCTCCGCGTCAGGGCTTTGGCGCCTTTCCCGGGCGAGGGCGGGCTACGCAGCCTTCTCCTCCCTCACCGTCCCGAGGGCCTCCTTGGGGCTCTCCTGCAGGAGGGGGCTCGAGGCCTCCTCCTGAGAGACGGCCAGGGCCTGGGTCTCACCGTCACAGCTGCCATCCTGCTCCCTCTCGGCCCGAGAGTCCGGGAGACCCCCGCGCTCCGGCAGGCAGAACAGCGCGCACAAGGGCTGAGCGGTGTGCGAGCCGCTGCGCGAACCCGGACGGAAGGGTTGGACGGCGGGAGGAGAACTGGGTGCGACGGCAGAGGGGCCTCTGAAGCTGCGGGACTCTAGCCCACTACACGGGAACTGCTGCCATAACGCCGCGAGCGCCCTAGAGCGGCAGCCGCTGCGCAGCCTCAGTCCGCGCCCGCTCCGGCCACTTCCGGCCACCTCAGCCAAGATGGCCGTCCCGGGTCCGCGCGAAGCCCTTCCTCTTCCGGTCCTGCCTGGGTTATGGTTGTGCGCTGCCTGCTTGGTTGGGAAAGCTGAGAGGAAAGGGGATATAACCAGGGCTTTTTCATTCAAGGCATGTTTCAATAAGTAAGGGATGAAGTAGTAATAGAGTCTTTTTTTTATAAATGTGGGTAGCTCTGATTTTGAGTGTTTTCCTGTAGCTCAAGCCAGAGTGTATGGAGGCCAAGACTGGGAGATAAGGCTCCCTGGACTAGTTAATGAAGGGCCTCGACCAAGATGCTAGGGTTAATGAAGTTTATTCTGGACACAATAGGGAAAAACTATGTGTGCGCGTGCGGGGCGGGGCAAAGAGTGTCTGGGCCAGGTCTGTGTCTTTAGCCTCTGGTGGCAGGGTGGAGGTTAGGTTGGAGTGGACCCTTCTAAAAGCCAGCAATCCAGTTTGGAGGATTACAGTGGAGAATAGGAATTGGAACCTGGAGAAGAACATAGAGGCACCCAGAAGTATTGTTCAGTGGATAATTATGATGAGAGGGTCTATGGCAATAAGAGGAAAATGATAAGAGCTAATTGAGGAATACTGAATGGTTGGAGGAAAGTATTCCACCCCCTAAACACACACACACACCTCCTGAGTTCCCAGCCAAACTTATCTACTCTTCCGGGCCCAGCTTAAATGTCACCTTTCCAAAGTCTTCCTTAGTCACTGTGCGTGGAATTTATTTACTATCATCTCTGAATCACAGTAACAACTTGTGTTTATTTGACATCTATGTATATAGGCTAGACTCTGTTCTAAGCAGTTTTCAAATATTAATTCATTTGATTCTCATTATCATCCTCAATTTATAAATTATTGTGTTTTTTCCTGTGGCATTTGCTATTTTCTAGCTATATAATCTTGAGAACATTACCTAAACTCCCTGACCTTCAGTTGCCATATCAGTACAATGGGAATAATAGTATTCAGAGATTATGTAAAGTAATGCACATATGCATTTAACACAGTGCTTGACACATACTAAGTATTCCATAAATGTTAGCTGCATTATTATTGAGTACTTACCCTGCTAGGTAAGTAGTAGTATCCACATTTTACAAGTGCAGTAACATACGAAGTGGTTAAGTAACTTACCGGGCATCTTGGAACTGGGATTTGAACCCATATAGTATGACCATACTCTTAATCATTACATTAATAGATGTTAATTGTTATTATTTACCACACTTTGTATTGTAATTATTTTTATTATTTTTATTTTTGGTCCCGGGGATCGAACTCAGGTCCTTGCGCTTGCGAGGCAGGCGGCGGAACCACTGAGCTAAATCCCTGGCAATTATTTTTGTTTTTTCTTCTCACCTTCCCCAAACCAAACATCGTAAAAACTAGGGCCATGTTTTCAATCATTTAAAGAGCCTCTCAAAGTTGGCACTCAACGTACACTTGTCAATGTATAAATGGTGGAGGCCTTTACTTTTTTCCTTAGGAATTAGCAGTTTATTTTCAGTAAGTATCAGACTTTTCTAGATATAAACATGAAATATGTCTTTTAAAAATATATACCCATTAATATATGACTTACAAAAACTGAAAGTACGTGAATGAAGCAGGAGGATGTTTATTATAGTCTAGCTTGAGGCCATTATTAGTTTGCATTGTGCCAAATATTTTATGTACAGTGTAATTTAGTCCTCAAAAGTCCTTATTAAGAAGGTATTATTTTCCTCATTTTACAAATGGGAAAACAGTCACAGGGAGGTTAAGTCACCAGCCTCAAACTACCCATCTGTTATGTGCTAAACCAGAAGTCTAAACACAGATCTGCCTACTCTGAAGCCTGAGCTCATGACCACCATCCTGGATGACCTAGTTAGCCACCCCTACCCAAAAGGGTAATGCTAGAGATAATAATCCATTTACATGTTTTTGTCATTGCAAGCATGCCCAAGAGGATACGCAGAAGACATATACATGGAAAGAAGCATGCAGGAATAAATTAAGTGGAAAGAATTTTGAGGGAAAAATTAACAGTAATATAGCTGGATTGAAAAATGTAATACTTGTTATAAAAAGAAACTACAGGTATGATTTGGGTGAGTCTGGCAGAAAAAAGATACAGCCAGACATACTGGTGCAGGTCTATAATCCCAGCATTCTGGGAGGCTGAGGCAGAAGGATCACAAGTTTGAGTCCAGCCTGGGCAACTTAGTGACTTGGTGAGACCCTGTCTGAAAATTTTAAAAAGGGCTGGGGACATAGCTCAGTGCAAAAACCTTGAGTTCAATCCCTAGTACCACAAAAGGAGGAGGAGGAAACAGGAGGTTATATATCTAATATTCCATTTATCTGATGTTCAAGGCAGGATAAACTAATGTATGGTAATAGAAATTAGGATGGTGGAGGCTTAGCATGAGGTTACCTGGAAGGGGGTATCCAAGAACTTTCTAGGGGGATGGAAATGTGTATCCTGATTTGACTATACATGCATTTGTCAAAACTTACCAAGCTGTACACTTAATACCTGTGTATTTCATGGCATATAAATTATACCTAAAATTATGAAAAGTAAGACATTGTAAAATAAAGGCCTTTGGGTGTGGGAGGTAGTGATAAGTATGAAAGGAAAATGGACTTTGCCTTAGCACTTGCTAGTCCCTAGGTGCTACCGTGTTACACTGAAAGGACATAAATAGTTGGTTTTCCAGTTTTGATTGTGCCCACCATGTACTGGATGGGCTTTTAATAATTACCCAAGCTGTTAAAATGGAGGCAAGGAATATCTCTTTGGTTGGGGAATGGTGAAACACTTTGATAACTTGTTTTCGAACCTTCATGAGGGGTTATCCTCAGGTAGCCTAGCCTACAGACTGAGAAAGCACACAGTGCTTAGTATAGTTTAGTGTGTGGAAAGGGTGGGAGTTATGCTGGAAACAGAATTGCAGGACGAATTGTCCTGGAATGTCTAGCACCGTGTGGGAGTGTGGGAAAGGTGTTACTCCGACCACTGAGCCAGATCCTTTCCTACCCATGACCTTGCACGGGACCTTGAACCTCTCTGGGCCACTAATCCTCATCTGTAAACCCAGCAAACCTTGCTTTGTCCATCCCCCAGGGCGATTTTGAGGCTCAAGATTATAAATGTAAATGTGCTTTTAAAGTGCTCTACCTTTAAGAAACAAGTATAAAATGTTACAGACTTTTTTTTTTTTAAGAGAAGTGGTAGAAAAATCCCAGTAATGAGTGTGACTGGCCTCTCATACAGACATTCTGGAATGAGCTTACACATTCCTAGTTGAAAAAAACTGCCTGGCCAAAAAGATTAAATAAAGAAATGTCAAGTACTGACACTCCATTTGAGGCCAGTGAGTACTTTGGTGGGGAGCCAGGGTTATCTTTTTGGATTCCTTCTAAACTTGGCAATGGAGTCCTCCAAACCCTTGAATGCTTTCTTCACCCAGGTGCTGAGTAACATGTCACCCCCTATCTGAGCGGGTCCCAAGCCTCGTAGGTCCTTGTGTCTTCCCCATTTGTCCTGGCAGCCTTGACAGCCATGCAGCGGATCCAGCTCACAGAAAGGATCAGAGGAAGTGCTTTGTCCCTTATCCCAAGGCTGAGGCAAAATGAAGCCCAGTGTTGTTGGAGCAGAGTAGGCAGAGCATGAGGCTTTGGGTCCTGTTTGTGTGCCTGGGATTGAGGCAGGATGGCCAGGCGGATGATCCGATCTGACTTGGGTAACGAAAATTGTTTGTTACTGTTTGAAGAGCAATTGTGTAAGCAACAGTACTTCTGTGTTTGGCTGCCTGTGACTCACCAGTGTCTGTAACGTAACACCAAGCTCAGAGGAGGAGCAGACCCTGGGCAGGGGGGATGCAGGGGGCAGGGGGCCCCTACTCATTTACTCCCTCCTCCCTCCTCCACTGTCCCAACCCCTCTCTAACCCTCCAAGGAGAGTTGGCGAGAAGGCATTTGCCACCTGGACACAATGAGGCCCAGTGCGAGGGGCAGGCAAGAGGCTGGCCTGGAGCCAGGCCCTGGCCTGAATGGCTGTTGCCAAGGGGCTGCCAACAGCCCATCTCAGTCCCCAAGAGGCTGGGCTGAGTGGGGGGCAACCCCACCTCCAACGCCCAGCTCATGCCATTTGCTGGCCGTGATCAGAATGTGCAGGCGAAGGGGCTTTGAGCACTGAACAGAGCGTTTTGCCTCTGCTGGCTGCCCACTCACTTGGATTAGAGCAGCCTCTCCGGAGCCCCTTTGTTGGCTGCTTGTCATTCCGCACGCACTGAGCACTGTGCATTCATCTTTATTAGTTCTAATTGCTTCCCCATTCTAATGGGATCTTGATATTCCCATACAATTGAAAGGAAATGTATTCATTAAAATAATTCTTCTCCTAACTGCCGCTTCAAGCTGCTCCTGTAAGTGACATTGTCTCTCACCACAGCCTGCTGAGGCCTCTTGTTAAGACTCTAGTCAAAAGCCAACTTCGGGCGGCAAACTTTCCTTCCAGGAGTTTCCAGACACTGGAGAGAGGGTGCTTTTTAATCGACTCACACACAGGAGTTGGAGGCCAGCTGGTGTAATGGGGGTGCTGCTCCTTAGGGGGCGGGGGGAGAAGGGCTCGCCTCCTGCTCTGCCTCCTAATAACAATGACTGCTTTCTGCACACCGGCTCGTTTGGAGAGGGCTTCCCCGTCATGTGTGTGAAACTTTCTGTTTATGCCACAGCAGTTACTAGGTGTGTTCCAAGCACAAGGCGCTGAGTAAGGTGCTGTGGGAAGTGGGAGACGGGACTGTAGTCTTGAGGTGTTTATGGTCTTGGTGGGTGGCTCCCGGCCCCAAGGCCCTAGACTTAGGCATGGGAGGAAATAATTAGCTGTATTTCGAGAATGCACTCAGTATTCAAAAGGCTTAAAAGGATTGAAAATTTAGAAAAGCAGGCGATTATTTTATAAATGTGTTTGATTTAATAACCAAACTCTTTCGTGCCACGTGATCATGAGGGTAATACAAGGAGCTTTGGGGGGCTTGGGGACCACTGATCTATTTGGGGAAAATAGGCCATTATAGAGCGACTGTGCAGATGTGGGTTCTTTGCATGAGTGGTGTAAATAAAGCACCATAGGAGTTGGGAGGAGTGTAAGGAAGAATGTGCTGAACACAACACAAGTGCTTATTCCTATGGAAGCATAATTACTCCTCATTTTACAAATGAGATGGATGGGTTAAGACTCACCGCTGTCAGGAGTCAGGGTTTGAAGACAATGCTTCCAATCCAAAGCACAGGCTCTTTGTATGGCACCGTGCACCCTCTCACATCGTATCTGTCAGGGGGTGGCAGAGAGGATGTGATGTGGAAGGTGATGTGTAAGCTCCCTCAAGGCCTTTGGAGACGGTGGGTTGTCAGGTAAGGCAGCCTCCTAGGGCCTGGGAGGAAGCTGGCATGTCAGGAAAAGACAGGAGTTCAGGGGGCCCAGACACTGGAGTGAGTGCCAAGGAGTTGTAGGAACAATGCCGAAAGGTTTGTGGGGGCCAGACCATAGCAAGCCAATGCGTGATGCATGTCAGCAGCTTGGATCTTATCCTACAGGTATTCTCCGAGGAGGAACACTCAAAGCCTCCAGATAAACACAGCATTTCTTTCAGCAGCATCATTTTTCCTCAAGGTGAATAATTTTAAACATCTTCTTATTAAAAGAAATGCAGATCTATCATGGAGTAGAGTGCAAAATTCTCATGAATTTTTAAGAGGACACAGGAGATTTCGAAGAACGTTTGGCTGTGGAGGCAGGGGCTTCAGGCTCCACAGTCCCCTGGGGGAACTTAAGATGTCTCTTTTGTCTGCTGTTGGTGAACTTCGGCAGTAAGGTTTGAGAAGTGCTGATGTGAAATGACACAGTTTGATCCCAGGAATAAAGTAATTAGCTGTGTTTCAAGAAGGGTGGCCTGGGCTCAGAGGATGAGTTGGACAGGCAGAGACTGAGGCCAGTGGACCAGTTTGGAAGCTGTTGCAATAAACTCTCAGGAGATGTGCAGAGCCTGGGGGCCACCTGAGCCTCAGAACCTACCTGCCCTGGCCCTTTTGGAAGGGGCTGCTGGAGACACCCCACCTCGCAGCTGCTCCTTCCTTTAAACAGACTGAGTG